GTGGGGTTTGTGTAAAATTATGATAGGTAAAAATTATTATTATTATTATTTATATTTATTTTTAAATTTTTGAAAAAATGGGGGTTTATTCGTTATATTTAAAGCTGGTTATTTGTTTTTTTAACTACATGAAAAGCTACACGTTATCAAGTTTCTAAAAAAAAAATTGTTAAATCAAAGAAATGAAATAACGTTTTTGTGCAGACACCACCAAATTTACGCCTCAAACATTGGTAATTTATAAATGGATAAAAAAATTACAATAGAAATTAAATCCTAAAATATATTAAAAAAAACATAATGCCATATATAAATAATTACACAATACCATACAAAATCTATTGGCAAATTCAATTAATTTCAGACACGTATAAAACTATAGGATTCAAAATACAACCCAGTCATATCTATACACCACTTTAAGAAATCATCAAAAAAAAAAACAAACAAACAAATAAACATAAAAAACAGTAACTGGGACATGAATCAGTAAGAGCAATAGAAACAGCAGAGCCTGAGAGCAAAGGCCATTATAGCCAGACAAAATTTCCACAGCCCAACCTTACATGAATCCAAAAATTTGAAATATGATAAACATTCCTATCTTCATCAAGCAGAGACCCCTTAATAATAAAAGTGAATCCCCAGATTACACTTCAAATCCCAGCCTTTAAATGAGTAAAGCATTTCTTCGGTTAGTTATTCTAAATATCGTTTGAGATTAAAACTGTGCTCTAAATTTTCAGTTACATTTTGAAATTAAAATTTATGTCTTGAGTTTCGAGATATAGTAATTTCTGTGTCGCGATGGAAACATATTTTAAAAAATAATTATATTTGATGTTCTACTTTTGTGTCGAGCACTGTTTTTTAGATTTATTTCTAAAAAACAGTGCTCGACACAGAAATAGAAATTCAATTATAATTATTTTAACATAAATACTAAAGAACTTTGGATCATTAAATTAACTGTTCTTTCCTGTTACATCAATAATCATGGATTATTTAAAAATAATGCATGATTAACAATGAAATTTTTACCGAATAAAGATTAGGGTGTACTGCATAAATATTATACAAAGTTACAAACATTTACATAATAGTTTGTTTCTTTTTTTAATAAAAATTAAAAATGGAACAAACGAAATAAGCTAGTGGACAAAAGTTAAGCAACGATCTTGTTAATACTTGATTATGAACAAAATATCAACAAAATTTAATATTTGGTAAACGTCCCCTTATTTTCAATGACTTCTCTGCAGCGTCGACCACATGATCTAATTAATTTCTTGCAAAAATCAGCAGTAATTCCCTCCCATTCATCTTACAATAACTCCCATAGGTGATCCTGGTTTTTCGGGTTTCTTTTCTGAGCCCTTTCTTCAATTATCTTCTAAACATTTTCTATTGGATTCAGGTCGGGGCTCTGGGCTGGCAACTTCATTAGGGCGATTCCTTCTTCATCAAATAAAGCCATAACCTTTTGAGCGTTGTGGCAAGGTGCATTGTCCTGCATGAAAATAGGAGATTCATAAAGATTATGGTGTAATCTTGGTACGACATGCTGCTAAAGAAGCTTTTTGTAAATCTCAGCATTGATATTGCCATGTACGCGGATGATAGGGCCAACTCCTGCAGATGAAATCATTCCCCACACAATCAAACTGCCGCCACCAAACTTAACGGTTTTTTTGACACATTGAGAAGACAGTCTTTCACCTGTTCTATGGCGTACGTAAGTTTTGCCCTCAGAACCAAATATAGTAAACTTGGACTCGTCACTGAAATGAACTGTAACGTATTGTGCGTCAGTCCAAACAACATGTTCTCTCGCATACTCCAGGCGTGCCCTTTGGTTTCGCTTTGAAATGAGAGTCTTCGAAGCTGGAATACGGGCATGCAATCCTGCATTTTTTAACCTGCGAGCAACCGTTTTCCTTGAGATCTTATTATCTGTCTCTTCATCAAATTTACGGGAAATTGATTTAGCAGTTTTAAAACGTTTTTTTTTTTTTTTGTGGATATTCTAACAATTCTTCGATCTTCTCTTTGCAGTGTTTTTGGAGGTCTGCCGGTTTTTGGTTTTGTATCTAACGTTTTATCGGTTTTATACCTGCTAATTACACGATGAACGACACTTTTAGACCTATGAACAATATCAGATCTTTCTGAAATTGACTTTTTTTCCTTGATAATTAGCGATAATGAGTTTTCTTTTCAAAAGAGAGCGTTTTGCGTGTAGAATTTGCCATATTACTTAAAAATAAAGTCCTAATGATAAATAAACTTTTACTTATTGTTGAAAAGCTCCATCGTGTTTTTTAACAATGTAAATTAAAAGTTTATGCAAATTATTAACATCGTTCCTTAACTTTTGTCCAGTAGCTTATTTCCTTTGTTCCATTTAATCTTTATTTAAAAAAAAAAAACACAGTGTCGGTAATTAATTTAATATTATTTACCAAAGCATTTTATTGTTAATAACGAGAATTAACCAGAAATATTTTAATAAATTTCTGGACTTTTGATTAATTGATTTGTCTTAATAGTTATTGTATGTAAATGTATAGTGAATTTATTGACACCCAACATATGCACCGCCTATATCTATCTATCTTTCTCTCTCTCACGAAATCCTCTTCACTGGACTTTTCATAGAAATACAAATATCATAGGATAACGGCCGACCTGGACACCAAGCTGGACACTAACCCACGGAGGCAATGAAGCACTGTTTGCCTGTCGCAGAAGCTCAAGTGTAATGAAGTAAAAATGCACTAGTGCATAGAAATGATTTCGGTAAGTAAGGCTTGCACTAAATTTATCTACGTCTCAGATAAATAATGTTTGTTCAGGAATGTTTAAATTGCCTTGTTCATGAGACTTCCCAGGATTTGAATTTGGAGAATGCATCTTCTAACAATCATTCCCAGTGGCCGACTGTCCGCCAGCACACATTTATATATAAAATACACACAAATATATATATATATATATATATATATATATATATATATATATATATATATATATATATATATATATATATATATATATATATATATATATATATATATATATATATATATATATATATATATATATATATATATATTTTTTTTTTTTTGAACAATAAAAAAAATATTAAAAATTAAAATCTTCAGACACACTGGGTTGTAGATTAATATTCTTTCGGTTTTTTTTATTATATATATATATATATACATATATTGCCATACACAGACAGACTTTCTCTGTATCACAGTGTCGCTAGACATCCGGTTGACTCAAGCCGGGATCAAAACCCGAATGATTTGGCATCAGTCAGGGATTTTACACCTGGGCTATCAGATAGAAAAGAAAAGGCTAATTTTTATGTACTGATTCTTGGAATAAACATGCCAATGACCGAAAGGGCTCAATACATGGAAGAGCTTTGCTGTATTAGTAGTAGTAGTCTTTGTTTACAAATTCGCGATTTCTCTCAAGTGTGCCTGACCGGAATTTTCCGGGGCGTATATATATATATATATATATATATATATATATATATATATATATATATATAGTGTTTGAGTTGGCGATATAGAAAATAGCGATATAAGCTGATATATATATATATATATATATATATATATATATATATAAATATATATACAAAGTCCGACAATTATTTTTTATGAGATTTTTTATTTATACGTTTTTTTTTATAGATTCAAATATTTAAGTACATGCTCTGTTCATAATAAACAGCATTAACAGCATTTACCGGCCTGAATATCCGAGAAATTTTCATAGAAATCATGCGTCCTCCGACAGGAATCGTCATATAGCCTGACGTGTCTTAACCGATTGGGCCACGGAGGAGCGTTCGTTTAGCAAGGCCGATTTTACTGTTTTTAAACACAATTCTCCATGATTTTCTCTCATTATTCATATCTGTCAATGCGTATCCAAATGTAAACAAATGACGTCATACATTATGAAATGGACAAAGTCTGAAAATTATTTTTTAAGAGATTTTTTTGTTTATACGTTCTTTTTGTAGCTACAAATATTTAAGTAAATGCTCTGTTTATATATATATATAACCGTGCCTAAACCGATTGGGCCACATAATTTTATGCTTTTTTTATTTTTTGTTAAATAATTCGACGGATTTTTGTTAAAAGTTAATGAAGAGGGTGTAATTCATTCTATTTTAAAAAAATCTCACCCCCAACTCGAAATTTCTAAACAGTATAGTAGTAATATAAATTTCAGGAGATCCCTGGAATGATATGGGACATTCTAGAACTTGTCTTTGCTTATTTGTAACTTTGTATGTTATATCTATGAACTGTCAAATTATATTATCAGCAAATTGAAAAATAAAGCTTTGAAATATTTTTGAGTTTTTACCCTTAATAGGTTAATGGTAGAATCAAATTTTTGGTTTGGTGATCTAAAACAAATTATGGTCTTTTTAATACCTTTGGGTCAAAAATTCATCGATTTATAACACAGGGACATAGGGTTGCAAAAACTCATAGCCCTTATGTGTGTGTGTGTGTGTGTGTGTGTGTTTATATATGTATGTTCGTTCATGTGATTTAGTACATGTGTTTGTGTATGATTCAGGTATTTTGAAGCGATGTCCAGTAACTCAACAAGTGGTTTAAAATATGTTGACGGGAAACCGCATACTGGTCTTCGCTTAAGGAATGCATAATGCAGACCTGAGAACTTATCATTTCAAAACTTTAAACTAACCCAGGTATTACGGAAATCTTACCTATTTCATGAAGGTCTAGCCGGTCATTTATACGTAGGTTACTGAAAAGATCTCGGTCTAATTTAGAATTAATTCAAAAGAAATTGTAATGGTTGATCACTAGTTCTGGATTTTGGCAAGTGAGTTTGGTACAACAATCTATCTATCTATCTATCTATCTATCTATCTATCTATCTATTTTTATGTGATTCAATACATGGATCTAAGTCTTCTGGCTTTCTTTTGATTCTCGTGTTTATTCGGATCTTTGGTGAATTGAAAAGACGAGATGGAAACATATACAGCAAGTCGTCATATTGGCAAAGCTTTACAGCAAGCAACATTCAAGCTAATAACTTTCCTCCGCCGCTTGCATCAATATTGTCACTTGGACATGATCTCTGCACTCCGGCGACTACGCCAATCACATCGACTTGAAAACAGGTCGAACTGCTGAATGTCTTCGTTGATATTGATATATTTAAATCTGTCCGTTTTTCTCTTCATATTACTTCTCTTTGGCAAGTCGTCGTTGGCCAGAAAGTTACGTTCTGTTTATCTTGGAGGTATATTAAAACTATAAATAGAGATATGGCTGACATATATCGAATAATTCGATGGACATATATATATATATATATATATATATATATATATATATATATATATATATAATACATATAAATATATATATATATATATATATATATTATTTTTTAAAAAAAATTTATAACATAAGTATGTTATAAAATCACTAAAAAATAGCCATTTTGTTTCAACACACTCTGTGTCTTATCAAGTGATAGTGTTGAAAATAAAATAAATGGTTTTAAAAGTTTCAGATTAATTAACGATCCTACACTAGGGGAGCATTGTTACAAAATCTAGAATAACCAATCAAAAACGAAGTACAGAAAAAGATTCAAAAGCTTGACAACAAAATCCTGCTATTATAGCTATTTAGATCTTTAAATACGTGTAATATTAAAAATAATTTTTACTAACTAATAATTATAAATTTATATGATAAAATTTAATATTAAAATTAAAACTGGCAATTTTTAAAACCAAATTTAATCACTATTAAGTTTAAAAACTACAAAATTATTGAGAAAAGAAAAAAAATATATGTTTATTCAATTCATTTCTTCATTAAAATTACGTCTGACAAGACAAAAAGCTACAATTCGTCCGGTCATCTGATAATACATGTATATATTTTTTCTTTTCCGTTTTTATTTTAAAGTTTGTGAATATGGTCTTAAACTCACGCGTGACACAACAAAAAAACACAATCAGATTATAATACATACGCATCCAGACATAATTAGATACACACACACACACACACACACACACACACACACACACACACACACACATACACACACAAAAAAAAAAAAAAAAAAAAAAAAAGGAAGAGGTGGGGAATACATGAACAACTCCACAGCCCTTTACGAAAAAGGAGACGTGGAAACTAACACTTATACACACACACAGTTAAATGTGAATACACTCTACATACATAGACACCGATATATACACAAACATACATCCACAATGGCATAGACATTGAGAAATCATAACCAGTAAATATTTCAGACTTAAATAAATGCTAACCACTTATTGAATTATAAATTAAGGGAGCAAATATATAAAGATAAAAATGTTTAAAATAATATTAATTAATATATTAAAACGAAAACTCTAAAACAATAAATATCAATAAAAAATATATATATTATTAATCATATAAGTTGATAATAGTTTCATTATATATTTGGCAAAGAAAAAATAATTATATCTGCTCTACTTTGTATTGAGCACTCTTTTAAGAATAGTAATTGTTGGTTATTGGAATTCATTCCGTGTATACCAATTATATATTTTTATTATATATATATATATATATATATATATATATATATATTTACGCACTCCCACACACACACAGACACACACACATATATGTACATACTGCGTATATTTATGTGAGAAAAATATTCAATATCAAGGATAGAGCCTTTGTAGACGTAGACAATGTAGACACAGGAATCAACACAGTATTGTGACTTAGTTTAACGCTTTTAGCGATCATCAGGCCGTTAAAGAAAAATGGACAATGGCTGTTCCTTCCTATGTCCAAGCTATGTATACTCATATATATATATATATATATATATATATATATATGGTATTCTTAAAACTGGGAACATTTTATTAATCAAAAATTCGGTTAAAAAATTTTAAGATCGTTTTCTTCCGACGCCTCCTCAGAAGAAAAATCGTCGGAATTAAGGACACCTACTGAATAGAAACAGACAACATTGAAAGTTGCCCAGAAAAAGACAAAGACTCGCCGAAGTGTGCCCGTTTATATTTCAGTTCCCGCTGCCTACAGAGTTGAATTAGACGTGTTGATAGCAACCGCCTCCAAGATGCCAATATGGTGTTTCGTCTGAGCCCTGTGCAGCACAGAGAAGAACTCTGCTGAATAATTAGTCCCACAATTGACGGAACAATAAATGCTCAATGGAAGAATCGTTCGCCTGTTAGTGTCTGGATACTAAAGAAGCATTGTCTACATATAAAGACCGGCACGCGCTGTGCAATTACACCTCTATACGTAGGATTCATAGTCGACCTCCCACCGACACTTATATTTTTAAGACATTTTTATAAAAAAGGATTTATAAACATAAAAATGTCTTCAAAATAATTGTCGGACTTTTTCCATTTCATAATGTCTGACGTCATTTGTTTACATTTGGTTACGACATGCGCAGATATGAATATACGTTAGAGATTCATAGAAGATTGAAGTTTAAAGACAGTAAATTCGACCTTGCTAACCGAAAGCTCCTCTCTTGCTGGTCGAACTATTCATTCCTATAAATCTTTAACTCTCACGAATATTTTTATACTTTTTTTTTGGTCACAAGACATATTCTTGCCAGAAAAATGGGGCTCTTTTCTTATATTCAATACGAAGTACCTGGGAATATTTACTTCCGATCTCCGAATCTTTGAGGTTGATGGCTAAAGCAATATGAACGGCATGATTTTCATTTCCCGCGTTAGGTTGGAAGCTTCTATGTTGGCTAGAGTAAAAATTAACAAACACACACACATATATATATATATATATATATATATATATATATATATATATATATATATATATATATATATATGGTAACGGTAACTGTCGAACTTTTTTACAGAAGAAGGCCATCACTTCAACGTTGAGCTGAGCGGTCATGTGCCGGCATTTCACTCATGCATACCTTTTTCTATATGTAACAGACGAAAGGCTTTCTCTTCGTGCATTCTGATGTGTCGCTTCTGTTAAGTGTCATTTCATCAGGAAACTGCATATCTGTCAGGAAAGACATTCATATAATCGTCATTAGACAGCCGATTTTCATCTGAAAAATCCAGCACGAGAGAGAACAGCTTTCCTGCCGAAGTTGCATACGACTTCAGATTGAATAACTTCTGGGATCGAGTCTACATCACATTTCCTGAAAGCCATTTTCAACTTCAAACGCTTAATCCTTTTGAAATCAAAACCATTGAAGAAATCAAAACTTTCAATAAATAGATAAATTCTTTGTTTCTTTTTTTAAAGTTTTTGATAATTCATTCAAATTTTTTTTACGATGTCATTAGCAACATTGAACATCATTGAAAACCTTTACTGGGTTTGTAGAGCGCTTACAAAGAGCAAGCTCTCTGTAAAACTGGTATTTAGGCAATCTCTCATCTTCCATGTTGCTCAGCTGTACTGCCCAGCGCAGTTGATTGCAAATGAGAAGTTTCTCCGTGCTGGGTGTTTTGGCTCCGTGAAGAAGAACTGTTTGGATGTAAGACTGCCAGATGATGTTATTTTTTGATGAAGTATACACACACACACACACACACACACACACACACACACACACACACACACACATATATATATATATATATATATATATATATATATATATATATATGTGTGTGTGTGTGTGTGTGTCTGTGTGTGTCTGTGTGAATATATGTAGATTTTTTATCGACAAAAAACAAATAGAGTAAAATCCACAGTTCTTAGCATTTACTTTTTTAAAAGTGCTCAATACAAAGTAGACCAAAATATTATTATAATATTTTTATTATACGAGATTTTATAAACATTTTACCTCACTACAAATGTTTTATTATAATATCGTATAATAAAAATATAATATATATATATATATATATATATATATATATATATATTTACTTCATTACTTTATATAGATTTCATTTTTATTGGTATAAATAGTATATATATATATATATATATATATATATATATATATGTGTGTGTGTGTGTGTGTGTGTGTGAGTAGTGTATATGGTGACACAGGTACATATATACCTGTATGATAACGAAGATAATATACATGTAAATATATATATTATAAATGATGTTGACTTGAGACGTGAAAATTACAATCACTATTCAGTCTAATCTAATCACTATACCTACAATACTATATCCATTAATATTATTGACAGCTTGAGGCTGCAAAAATGAAAATCAATTAATATAAATGGAAGTTAACTACGCATATTTTTTTTACAACTGTTCGATATATTTTGGACAGTGAAATATTTCACACGTCATTAGAACAGACAAAACGATTTAATGCTTATTTTAACAACTGAATAATATATATAAAATGTAATTAATAATGGCAAATATGCTGGGCTTTCAATTCTTTCATGCTTTCAGTGATATGAGCTAATCTCAACACGAAGCTTAATTTAATAGGAATCCATTCGTATAGGAACTGGAATCACTATATTCAGTGGAAATGTCAGGAACAAATTGAAGAGCAATTGTCAGATGCTTAATTCATCAAAATGTAACTATTTAATCAAATCTTTATATTTTAATCTTTTCTAAATCAATCTATCAATCTATCTAATTTTATTCATTATCTATCTATCTATCTATCTATCTATCTATCTATCTATCTATCTATCTATCTATCTCATTGAATACATTATCTATCTATCTATCTATCTATCTATCTATCTATCTATCTATCTATCTATCTATCTATCTATCTATCTCATTGAATCTACCTATCTGCCTAGTTCTTATATCTGTATTTTATATTCTTTCATAAATATCTGTGTCAGTTCTCATCTTTCAGTTGCTTTTTGTTATTCAATAGTTTTTGTTCTCACTTTGTTCCTATCTATCTATCTATC